TCAAATGTTTTCCTTCTGTTTGGTGTTGGTGCCATGGTAAGGTCAGGGGGACAGAACATGGTAGAGGTGCCATGGTAAGGTCGGGGGGACAGAAGATGGTAGAGGTGCCATGGTAAGGTCGGTGGGACAGAAGATGGAAGAGGTGCCATGGTAAGGTCGGTCGGTGGGAAAGAAGATGGTAGAGGTGCCATGGTAAGGTCGGGGGGTACAGAAGATGGTAGAGGTGCCATGGTAAGGTCAGGGGGAGAGAAGATGGTAGAGGTGCCATGGTAAGGTCAGGGGGAGAGAAGATGGTAGAGGTGCCATGGTAAGGTCAGGGGGAGAGAAGATGGTAGAGGTGCCATGGTAAGGTCAGGGGGAGAGAAGATGGTAGAGGTGCCATGGTAAGGTCAGGGGGAGAGAAGATGGTAGAGGTGCCATGGTAAGGTCAGGGGGAGAGAAGATGGTAGAGGTGCCATGGTAAGGTCAGGGGGAGAGAAGATGGTAGAGGTGCCATGGTAAGGTCAGGGGGAGAGAAGATGGTAGAGGTGCCATGGTAAGGTCAGGGGGAGAGAAGATGGTAGAGGTGCCATGGTAAGGTCAGGGGGAGAGAAGATGGTAGAGGTGCCATGGTAAGGTCAGGGGGAGAGAAGATGGTAGAGGTGCCATGGTAAGGTCAGGGGGAGAGAAGATGGTAGAGGTGCCATGGTAAGGTCAGGGGGAGAGAAGATGGTAGAGGTGCCATGGTAAGGTCAGGGGGAGAGAAGATGGTAGAGGTGCCATGGTAAGGTCAGGGGGAGAGAAGATGGTAGAGGTGCCATGGTAAGGTCAGGGGGAGAGAAGATGGTAGAGGTGCCATGGTAAGGTCAGGGGGAGAGAAGATGGTAGAGGTGCCATGGTAAGGTCAGGGGGAGAGAAGATGGTAGAGGTGCCATGGTAAGGTCAGGGGGAGAGAAGATGGTAGAGGTGCCATGGTAAGGTCAGGGGGAGAGAAGATGGTAGAGGTGCCATGGTAAGGTCAGGGGGAGAGAAGATGGTAGAGGTGCCATGGTAAGGTCAGGGGGAGAGAAGATGGTAGAGGTGCCATGGTAAGGTCAGGGGGAGAGAAGATGGTAGAGGTGCCATGGTAAGGTCAGGGGGAGAGAAGATGGTAGAGGTGCCATGGTAAGGTCAGGGGGAGAGAAGATGGTAGAGGTGCCATGGTAAGGTCAGGGGGAGAGAAGATGGTAGAGGTGCCATGGTAAGGTCAGGGGGAGAGAAGATGGTAGAGGTGCCATGGTAAGGTCAGGGGGAGAGAAGATGGTAGAGGTGCCATGGTAAGGTCAGGGGGAGAGAAGATGGTAGAGGTGCCATGGTAAGGTCAGGGGGAGAGAAGATGGTAGAGGTGCCATGGTAAGGTCAGGGGGAGAGAAGATGGTAGAGGTGCCATGGTAAGGTCAGGGGGAGAGAAGATGGTAGAGGTGCCATGGTAAGGTCAGGGGGAGAGAAGATGGTAGAGGTGCCATGGTAAGGTCAGGGGGAGAGAAGATGGTAGAGGTGCCATGGTAAGGTCAGGGGGAGAGAAGATGGTAGAGGTGCCATGGTAAGGTCAGGGGGAGAGAAGATGGTAGAGGTGCCATGGTAAGGTCAGGGGGAGAGAAGATGGTAGAGGTGCCATGGTAAGGTCAGGGGGAGAGAAGATGGTAGAGGTGCCATGGTAAGGTCAGGGGGAGAGAAGATGGTAGAGGTGCCATGGTAAGGTCGAGGGGTACAGAAGATGGTAGAGGTGCCATGGTAAGATCGGGGGGTCAGAAGATGGAAGAGGTGCCATGGTAAGGTCGGTGGGACAGAAGATGGAAGAGGTGCCATGGTAAGGTCGGGGGTACAGAAGATGGTAGAGGTGCCATGGTAAGGTCGGGGGGCACAGAAGATGGTAGAGGTGCCATGGTAAGGTCAGGGGTACAGAAGGTGGTAGAGGTGCCATGGTAAGGTCAGGGGTACAGAAGGTGGTAGAGGTGCCATGGTAAGGTGGGGGGGCAGAATCAAGTGCAGTTTCTCCTTCATTTGCACTATCATTGTTCATGACTTCATGTGGATTGCCAAACTGAAATGGTTCCTTGTTTTTACTTGTCTACTTCCTCTGAGTACGCGGGGTTACTGATCATTGTATTCTATTCAAAAACAAAGAAGTCTTCTACCGCCCAGAAGAGACGATTGGACTCTTTCTAATGGTCCCCACGAGCTGCATTTGTTGGCCTCTCTGGCGCAATGTTTTCTTGAATTGAATAAAAGTTGATATATTTCTGTTCAGATCTTTTTCTTTCCGAATTCTTCTTTCAAAGTGGGTGTTGAAAATAATAAAAAAAAATACAGGAAGACCGAAAAAGAGGGTTTTCTTGACTCTAATATTTTCACAGACCAGTAAACGCTGGTATCAGGGTCAGGTTAAGAGTAGGGCTGCAACAACTAATCGACATAATCGATTATTGAAAAAGTTGTCAACTTTTTCAATCATCGATTAATCGGCTTTTGATTAGTTGCTCCTGTTCACAGCTCCACACACGTTGCGCGCCGCACCTCCTCCCCACCTCACGCTCGCCGCTGCCAGACCCGCTCGCATTCCATGCTACACACGTCACACCTCCTCCCCGCCTCACGCTCACCGCCCGCCCACATCCACGATCGGCACAGGGACGCGGGAGAAGAAGTAAGGAGGAGATGGTGTGGGGTGGGGATGACAGCGGCAGATAGACAGGCCCGATTTTAGAAGCAAGTTGCTGGAAGACTGCTCAGGTACGCCTGCACTTTCCCACACATGGTGCTCTATAATGTATTGCTGGGATTTTTATTCCTCTATAGCTGATGGTACATTGTGCTGTACTGTATATTATACAGAGCAATGTACCATCAGCTATAGAGGAATACATTATACACTGTATGTATAATGTATTGCTGGGATTTGTTGTATTACTATACAGCTGATGGTATTCTGCATTGCGCTGTATAGAGGACTACAAATCCCAGCAATACATTATACAGCACAATGCCGAACACCACCAGCTATAGAGGACTACAAAACCCAGCAATAGTACATTATACAGCGCAATGCAGAATGCCTTTGGATGGACTACAATCGCAATACAAACTAGCAGTCCTATCACTGGAGCCATTTTTTAAAATGTATTTTCATTTTTTATCCGATTAATCGAACGTAATAATCGGCTAACTAATCGATTTTGAAAGTAATCGTTAGCTGCAGCTCTAGTTAAGAGCATAGAGGGACTGGTGCTGTCGGTTGGACAGGAAGCAGCAGAGGCAGCTCTCTAATCAGATGGCCGCTTGCTTCTCGCTGGGGCCTCTCGCGGCCGCCTAATATGCCTGATTGAGTTCAGACCAGCCAGCCTGGATTGCCATCAGGCATAACGAGATCCAGGGAGGCCAGGCCTATTTTCAATGTTGAGCCGGCGCTCCAGTGGCCCCTATGTGAATCTGGTCCTGGCTGGTATAGAAGCCCATGATCTGCAGATTTTTGGGTCACAGGAGGGCAGTAAATGCAGAGAACTACAGGCAGAAAATGTTGGCCCATAGTCCTCTCAACTTTTCCTGCAACTTGAGCTACAGTAGCTCTTCTGTTGGATCAGTCTTTTGGTCGGTCCTGACCACCGCAGACCGGGAACATCCCACAAGAGCTGCAGTTTTGGAATTGCCCTGACCCAGTCATCTAGACATCACAATTTGGTCTTTGTCAAAGTCCCTGAAATCCTCACACTTGTCCATTGTTTCTGCTTCCAACATATCAACTTCAGGGACAAAATGTTCACTTGCTGCCTAATATATCCCCCACTTTCAGGTGTCATTGTAATATATCCCCCCACTTCCAGGTGTCATTGTAATAGGTTGAACTCGATGGACTTGTGTCTTTTTTCAACCTGACTAACTATGTAACTATATGATGTAATATACGTGTACTGTAGATCTCTCGATTGTTCCTGATGAAGTAAAATGAAATCTTTGTAAACCTTTGTTGCCAAGTCAGACCTATAGCCTTGTAATCAGCAAAGCTCATTTTCCCTGCTGATGGGAGCAATCTTCCTACTAAGAGAGAAAGAGAGGGAGGGGCAGAGAGAGGGAGGGGCAGAGAGAGGGAGGGGCAGAGAGAGGGAGGGGCAGAGAGAGGGAGGGGCAGAGAGAGGGAGGGGCAGAGAGAGGAAGAGAGAGAGAGGGGCAGAGAGAGAGAGAGGGGCAGAGAGAGAGAGAGGGGCAGAGAGGAAGAGACAGCACTCCAAAAAGGAAATTCAAATAGTAACTGGTGGACAACATGGAGCGCAGAGTCCCACACGAGACCTCTTCCTCTATGAAGTGAAGTCAGACCACACAAGTAGCCCTGTGACAAGAGAAATCTAGGGGGCTGCCAGTGCTGACTTCCTGCCAGGTGCTCGGCTGTGTCTGGTTCCAGCACTTTAGAATCACAGACGTGGAACAAGAAGTGAAAGCACCGGTCGCCGCTCGCTGTGGTCCCTGGTTACATAGTAAGTGGAGCATTGCAGCGCAGGCTTTTCCGGCCGAACCCAACCCAACACACACGAATAATAAAGCCTGGAGCGTTCATTTGGTGAAGTGCGTTTAATGGTTGCCGCTTTCGTTCAGAGAAAATAAATACAGTAACAAAACTTGGGAACAAATCAGCAAAGTTACAGAGAAATGTGAAGGGATGAGGAGACACAATGGGCCTCGTGATGCAAACTGAAGGAGAAAGAAGCAGACGCCGTTGCCGACAGCAACCGGATTTCACATTTCTCTGCAACTGCTATAGGCTACAGTTCTTCCTTCAGAGATTTCCATCACAAGTCTTTGTTCTGCAGGGCATACAAAATAACATTGGGAAACCATGTGGGACCAAGTTCCCCAATCATTGCTGACATGAAATGCTGCGGGTCCCTTCTTTAGTAGCTGGTCACGGTATACATGCGATTGGATCTCCGCAGACAGCGATCACACACCCACAGTCCTCATCAATAGAAGAGACACTTCCACACCGTGGCCCCCTGGGTCTTTAATGCTGGTGCGGTCTTCCCCTGCCACGGCCACCTCCAGGAGCTGCGTCTGCACCCGAGCGCGGGTTCTTTATGGTCTCGTCTACAGACATTATGAGACAGGCGGCTTCTGAGGCCGCGGTCAGAGCGTTAATTCTCACGATGGCCGGCTCCCATACGCAGGCTTCAAAGTTATCTGCGATGTCTTCATTGTTCACGTCCACGCCGTACCACATACCGCCCTGGAAGCATTCCCGGAACAGTCAGAAGATGAAGCTAACGCCAACATTTCTAAAACCATCTGAATGAAGCTTTGTGTTGTCCTCAGTAAAGAGCGGGCCATGCAACTACATTACCAGTGCTGGCCATGCGACATGGCCGACCTGTCCCACATACTCTTATCTGCAGGACTTGTATGTGCTCTTGGCTGACTGCAGCAACCTCCCCCCCCC